AGCGGCGCGTCCTCCAGCGGCGGCAGCGGCGCTCGCAGCGCCCGGTAAGTTTGGGTCCAGACCCGGGCGCCCGCTGGCCCCGGGCCTTCCTCTCGCTCCCTGTGGACTCTTGGGGTGCGAGCGTGGGGCGCTGGGTGCTGGGGGCTTTTCCTTTGAAGGGTCCGCCGGCGCCAGGCAAGCCCCGCGAGCGGCCAGCGGCCGAGCTCCACTGCGCTCTCCTCGGCGGCCCGGGGCCGAGGCCCAGGCTACCGGCGATCGCCCGGCTGAGCGGAGCCGGCTTGGGCTGCGCGCGGGGGCCGAGGCTCTTCGGGTGTGCGGGGCGTGAATAAGGTTGTGCGCGCGCGGACCGTGTGCCCGCCTCCTGCCCGTGCGCCTCCAGCCCTCGTTCTGTACACCCGGGCAGGACCGGGATTCGGGCAGGGAGGGAAGGACCCGGGTAGGACCACCTCGGTCTCCCTCACCTCGTTCGGGGAGACGCGAAGTTGTGCGCCTGTGTGTACGAGAACCGCCGGAGACGGCGCTGGATTTCGGGTGGCAAGGGGTGGTGGTGCTAAGTTGTGCATCTGAATTTCCAGGGAAAACACACACTTTGGTAAATGGGAGGTGGAGGCGCGGTTAAGTTGTTTGTGTGTGAATTGCCCGGGGAGACGCGGCGCACGGTACTAGCGGGGAACGCCGAGGGGTGTGTGTGTAGGGGCTTCCCGCAGGTCTTGAGAAGCCCGAGGGGCGTTAAGGCCATCGCCTGGACGGGGCTGCCCCGGCCAGGAGGGGAGCCCAGAGGGAAGATGTGCGTGTGTGTGCGCGCGCGCGTTGCAAATACGAAAGTAATTTCTCCGTGTTCTTTCTTCCTCTCCGTCTCCGGCGGCGGCGGCGGCGGCGGCGGCGGCCCCGGGGGAGTGGGAGGTCGGCCCGGGCGGAGGTTGGGGGGCCGGGCCGGGGTCGGAGCTGGGGTGGGGGGGCGGACTCTGGAAGCTTGTTTCACATTCCTGGCGTCTGGGCAGGGGAGAAAACAGTGGGGAGCGCGGCCTCGGCGTCTGGGGCGCGGGCAGCGGGCGCGCGTCGCCCCCTCGCCGGGGACATCTGTCCAGGAAGCCAGGCGGGCGGGGAGAGGGCGCGGTACGGAGGGCAGGCTCCCCGCCCCAGAGCAGCGGGGGCGCGGGCGAGGGGCGGCCGCCTTCCCGGCCATTGTGCGCCAGCAGATTTTCACGGGAGACTGCCCCGGAGCCGCCGGAGAAGGCCGGGAGTCGGCCTCAGCCCCGGGTTTAAAAGACACTCCAGGAATGTAAACAACCCGGGCAGGAGGGCGGGCTGGCGGGAGCGCGCCAGGACAGCCGGCCCGGGCCCCCCACCCCTCCCTGGGGGACAGCCCGACGGCAGGGCCGCCCAGCCCTTACCCCTCTACCTGCCGCAAACTTTTCCCTCCTCCGCCTTCCCTTCCCACCTCGCCCCTCTAGCGAGCGGGGCACAGAGCGAGGGCGTCTCCGGAGGCTGGGGCTCTGAGCGACTGACACCCGGCGCCTGACCCTGGGGGCCTGGCGGCCCGGCCCCTGCTTGGGTGTCCCGAGTCCGGGCTGCTCTGGCTTGGGAGCCGCAGGCTGCTTCCGTGGGCAGTGCCCGAGTAACTGGGGCTCTGAGAGCTGCCTGCCTGCCTGCCTCCCTCTCTCTCCCCCCCGCTGCTCCTTCCCCACTCTCCCCCTTCTCCTTTCCCCTGACTGCTTTTCCAATGCCTTGACATGAGGGAGGAAGATTTAACTTGGCAGCCCAAACAAATGTTCTCTCAGAGGTCCTCCAAGAAGCTGGCGGCTGGGCTGGCAGGGTGAGGGCAGTGCTCGGCCAGTCTATTCCTCCTCCCGGCTCTGCCATGGCCATTTGGAGCCCCCTGGGTGCACAGCCCAGGGCATGGGAAGAGTAGAGCCCAACCCTGCAGATTTAAAAGGGCAGTGAGAAGCCGCCTGTGGAAGCCCCTGGCTTGGCGCTGGGCAGGAGCCACAGGGAGCTGCGTCCTGGTGCCAAGGGTTTTCTGGAGGATTTTCTTGAGCAACAGTTTGTCTCCCTGCTGCAACCTGGGAACAGGGCCTGGTAGACCAGAGGGTTAACCGGCACTGTCTCCTCCTCTCCTGTGGGTGTGAGGACAGGCTGGTTACACAGGGCAGGGCAGGAGGCCAGAGGCTGTTCCCAGAGGTGCCTGTGTTTGCTTATTATTGTTTTTTTGAAGGGAGAGATAAAGAGGCAGGCGCTGTGGTTGGAGAATGGGCAGCTTGGCTGGCGTTGAATTCGGACTTGACTCTGCTGGCGTTGGTATGGTCCCGGGAGTTTAAAAGTTGTTTGTAAGCTACCGGGGAAGTTTAGACCAGGGGGTGAGCCCCTAGCTTTCTCTGTCCTGGCTGCTTTTTGAGGAGATCCAGAGCAGGAGCTGGGGTGGGAGGGGGGAATTCCTGGCCCCTTGCTTCCCCTCTGCCTGGCCCTGGTGGTGTGGTCTGTGAATGCCCCAAGCCTCGCGCTGACCTTTCTCTCATCAAGTTGAGGATGTTGAAACACCAGCATCAAACAAAAGACACATTGAAAGCCCTATCTGCCACAGAGCACGTGTGACTTTGGGGCCAAGGGAATGCATCTGGAGGGAGATGGTGTTTTCTTCTAAGTTTTATGATTTCGGTTGGGTTTTGTTTTTCCCAAAAGGACAGAAGCATCTCCTTGTCCCAAGTCACGAGGTTATGAAATGCTGTTTTCACATGTAAATCTCAAAACTTTAGAGTTTTGAGAGTTGGCGGCAGGGACTAGAGCTGGGGTGAGGGGGGAGGCAGAAGTAGGAAGTTTTCAAAAGTTTTAAATGGTTTTTAGATTGGGGTTTTGAGGCATTCGGGGTATGGCTCACAGAGAAGAATTGGGAATGAGAAATTGCCGGACTTCTGGAAAACTTTGATAACTAGCCCTGTCTTTGAAGGATTTCTGGCTTCTTGGTGGGGACAGTATGTCCCTTTTTCCTCCTAAGGAAAGAAGGGAGGAGGATCCTCGTTCCTTTCATGGCCAGGAGCAAAGTGAAGAAAGGTCCAGAGACTGCGGGGTTTGGCCACAGAACCACAGGTTCTTTCTCTCACACACACACTCCCCTTGCAACAGTAACACAACACTTTCTCCATACCTGGCCCCCAAAGATGTGCCCCCACATAGGACAAGTGCCCACCAGCGACACATCCTGGAAAATTGCAGGGGGAAGGCTCCCACTGAGAAGAGCCACACACTTCACTTTTTCCCTGATTGACAGAGATGGGGGTAGATAAGGAAGGCAGGCCCTTTGAGGCCTACTCTGTCCTGAGAGTCGTGTCACAGGAGTACCCGTGTGTGAAGCCACGGATACGGAGTTCTCAGGCCTTGGCTAGTGTCCGACAAGCAGCCATGACCCTGGCCTCAGGGTGAGGCATCGTTGCAAGAAATTTGGGCACCAACAAGTTAATTTCCGGAAGCTTCTCTGGGCACTCTGTCACGGAACCAGGAAGCAGGGCCTGCCAGGTTGTGACTGGGTCCCATACGGTTTCATTCATAACTTTGCTCCCAAGGGCTTCTGCCGGGCTCCTATCACCGCCTCATCTTTACGAGGTTCCTCGGGTTTTGTGTGGACAACAAAGGCCGGGCTGCAGTAATTACCCTGGACTCCGCTGCAGCCTTGCCTGGTGACTGCTCTGACCTCTCAGCAGGACACAGTGGCCTCTGTCCACGCCCTCTGAGGGGGAAGCTCTTTGTCCCGAGAGCCCCTGACAAAGGGGGCGGGGGAGGCAGAACTTGCTGTAAACTCTAGGGGTGATTTTGAGGTTGGGCCTTGCCCTCAGGGAGGCTCAAGAGAGGCTGAGAAAATCAGTCCTATGCACAGGCTCTGGGAAAAGAATCCAGGAAACCCTTCGTGATTTTTGGGTCTTCCCAGTGCTTGAGGAGATGGGGGGAGAAGGGTCAAGAGGCTGGCTCCCTTAGGCCAGTGGCTTCACTCTGCTGGGACTCAGTCTCCTAATCTGTAAAATGGGTCCAAAGGGAGAACCACTCTGATCCCACTTGGCTGCTGTGAGGATGAGGCAGATGTGAGTAGTAGAGCCCTTGGCGTGTATCCTCTGAAGGCCTGGAAGGTTCTGGGTGCAGAATGAAGCACAAAGGTGTTGCCTTGGGGCTACTAGAGGCATTTTCCAGAAGCTGCTTCCCTAAGCCTACTTCCTTGGCGGCTTATATCCAGTCTTGGCTTGCATGTCCCCTGTGACAGGGCACTCATTACTCCGAGCAGCTTCTGCGTTCAGTGGACAGTTCTATTACTATGCTCTGTTGCATGGCATGCTTTCTGGAAATCATCCCCTCCTGACCCTCACTCTGAGCTTGAGGTGCTGGGGGTCCTCCAGACCACAGACTCATCCTCTCTTGAATGATCACAGATTCAAGACCAGTGCTCAAGCAGATCATGCCAATGGGAGGGGAATGTGGACCCTCCAAACGGCTGCTTTCAGCTGTTATTGGGAAGGAGCTGCTGGGAGTGAGAAAGGATCGGCCTGAGGGGCTCACTGTGATCTGTCAGTGTATGTGCCGGGCCTGCCTCTTGGTACTTTCCCCTCCTTGAATTGGGTATGAGGAGAAGGAAGGAGGTACATGGTGGGGGTGGTGTCGGGTCAGGGGCCCAGCACTGGTGCCACAGATAATTCCTAGGAGTCCACAGTTGTGAGGATCGTGGCCTGTGAGACAGCCAGAAATGTGTAAGACAGTTCCTGTTCCTTAGGAGCTCACAGCCAGTAAGGGCAGGAAGATCAGTCCAAATAAATAATTAACCACTAGCAGCTGGCTGCCTGCCATGGGGCACATGACAGTAATAACCACAGCCCCTTGCCTTTGTGTATGGCACTTGGGGGATTTAGAAGCACTCTCCAAATTTATGGCACTCCAGCAACAACAGTGGAAGCTAACTACTATTTGGAATTACCCCCACTTAACAGACAAGAAAACCAAGTTTCAGAGAGGTAAAATGACCTGTAGCCGAGCCAGGACTCAGCCCCAGGCCTCAGAGATGTAACAC